AGAAGTCATCGGACAGTATTAGTCAGTATTTTTAGCTTAAATAACCGAAGCTCTTAAAAACTTAATTGAGACGGTGCAGAAATACATAATTTATAGTGAAATATGCAAAGAATGTTACAGATCGCTTTTGTTGTGCAAAAGTGCATTACATATTTTGGAAACATGAATGGTTGATAAACCGGTGCGTTTGCGAAATGGCAGCATACAAATGATTCACTGTATATCCAGTATGACATATACATCTGGATACCCGAAGTGTAAATAAACTTTCTAGCATTATCAAGAGAGTAGTTTTTTTTTTGTTTGTAGTGTTCTTTGTAATGTTTGCAGTTATTTATGTAAGGTGAGTGTTGGGCTTTAACAGATGATAATCCAAACGTCTGTTGAAGACATTTACAGTAGGCGAATGAAAAATAGACTTTGTTGATAGAACCTTGGAGAGAAGAAGGGTGAACATTGATTTGTTCAGATTAGTTCCTTATTCAACTGGCAATTTTTTCTTCTGAGGTTCCTTCTTAGGGGCATTTTAAAGATATCCCCCCACTTCAAATTCAGACCAGTTCCCCTTACCCTTGAAACACGTGGCCCCGCTGTGAAGGCGCGGGTCAGAAGGGGCTAGGAGGGGATGGCTCCGTCAGAATTTAATTAAAGCTAATTAATATTGCAGAAGTTATTTCCTGGCGTAATCTATATATTTTAGGGGTCAGAGAAGGAAATTAAACCTGAATTTATAGTATTCGGTGGATGAAAGTGATCTATAAGCTAATCTTCGTAAGTATATTCAGTAAAGGGTCTCAGAGGGGGCTAGGTGGGGATTGGTCCCTTTTAAAATGGCCTGCATTTCACCACGGCCTCACCACGGGACTGCACGTGACTGAATGTGATTAGCTAATTCACTTGATGACAATCTTGCGTACTCCATTCTGATTGTAGGCGCCATTTTATCGTGAAGCACGACGTTGTTCACAACAGCACGCTGGCTCTCATTGTCGTGACTGTATTTCCGGTAAATTGGCTAATCTCTTGCTGTTTTCTTCTAGCATGTGGAAGCCTACATCTATGAGAACTATAAGAGGACAATCTAAGTGCGATTATCTTGCATTTAAGCTTCAAATTACCCTCAAACGTCGGACAAATTTGATATTTTGGTGCGTAAACCAAGCCGTTTTGATGGTTTTTACGCATGCCTGTGAATTTGTATGTTTGGTGTCTTATTTTTAGTTCCTTTAGTAGAAACTAAGTAGGCTAGACACTTTATAACTTTTGCAGGGTATTAAATCTACATGTATGATGCTACAATTTTAGAGATTGCCGAAGAAATCGAACTAACGACAGAAGTCCAAATTCATTGCTTCCTGGTGACAGTATAATGAGGATATCTCAGGCAAAGCAGATCATCTGGATGCAAAATGATGGCAAAATGATGACACCCTACAAGATCACAGTCGATATTTCCCACGCTCCTCC